TGGACGCAGTACTCCAGGTGGGGTCTCACCAGAGCAGAGTAGAGGGGCAGAATCCCCTCCCTCGACCTGCTGGCCACACTTCTCTGGATACAGCCCAGGATACGCTTGGCCTTCTGGGCTGCTAGCGCACACAGCCGGCTCATGTTCAGCTTTTCATTCCCAAGTCCTTCTCCTCGGAGCTGCTCTCTATCCACTCTCCACCCAGCCTGTCCTTGTGCTTGGGATTGCCCCAACCCAGGTGCAGGACCTTGCCCTTGGCCTTGTTGAACTCCATGAGGTTGGCACAGGCCCACCTCTCCAGCCTGTCCAGGTCCAGCCTGTCAAGGAAGGCATATAAGGACCTGGGTATGTTCCATTCATGTAACATCACACTATGTTTCTGGGACTTTAAATCTGTAACTTCTCACTAAGCCGAAAATAAGTAAGGGAAGAGGGTTAATTTTCTATACCCTACATGCCACAGTTCCTGACCCATCAGCTGTTTTATATGGCTGTGATTAAGACTGGAGTTAGAGATGGAGACCAGGAGCATTGGAGCACAAGAACATGAAAACACAAGTCCAGTCCCTGGCAAATTGCAGGTGGCCAACTGATTAATATTCAGACCCTCAAAGTCCCCACAACATCCTTGTTTGCCATCTGCACTCCCCAGTGTCCACAGACACACACAGTACCTTTAGTAGTATAACAAAAGCAGTACGTGCTGGAGCAGAAAGCAGGAGAGATACAGGGCATAAATACTCAGAGCCCTGCAGCAGTGGAGAATTCCTTAGGTGAGGATGCCCAGAGGACTGAAGGAATCCTTATTAAAGATGACAGAAACTTCCCCCATACTCCTAGGAACCCACAGTGAGATGGTAACATCTGGGGGAGAGACATCTTCCTGCCCCCAAGTAGAATCACTTTGATGCCAGAGCCAAGGGAGGGTCTGGGGCTGCTCTGCTCCTTTGGAAAAGGACTGGTTTTAGGAGATGATGGTTATCATGGGGCACTTTGTATACAGAAGGTGAAGAGGGCTTGTCCTAATCCCTGGTTCTGTGTTCTAGCTGTGCCTGTCCTTTTTAAACACGCCCTGGAGAACACGGAGATGGAAGAGGGGAAATCTGTCTCCTTGCGCTGCGAACTCACAAAGCCTGATGCCACCGTGGTGTGGAAGAAGGGAGAAGCCACGCTCCAGGCAAGTGCCAAATATGAAATGAAGCAGAAGGGGACAGTGGCAGAGCTGGTGATTCATAATGCAGAGCCAGAAGATGCGGGAAGATACACCTGTGACACTGGAGACCAGCAGACCACAGCCCAAGTCAAAGTCCATGGTAGGAATAAGACACCTGCTTGTGACCATTTCTTGTTGTTCTTGCCATGGTCCTGCTAGCTCCTGCGCACTTATAGCGAGCCCTCAGAAAAAACGGGAGCAGTAGACACATAAGGCAGCTCTGGCTGGGTCCCTCTTGTTCTCTGTTTTCTAGGACAGTAACTTCATGCTAAAACATAGCGATCAAATATGCCAGATAACAGGATTATCTTTTCTTGCCTCTGAAATAATTGCTGTGCTCTCGACAGAGGCGCTTGTCTGAGCTCTAAGCCGGAAGGTAAGAAGGGCATCAGCTACACATTTTGTTAGAGAATATGCAATTCTGCACTTCCTCAGCAAGTTTTTAATGTGTCTGTGACTGTCAGCGTTTGGGCAGCGGAAGGGGAATTACCTTGATGATCTAATTACTGGGAAATGATTGTTTTGGTTTTATTTCTTCCCAAACTCATGGTGTAAATACAAGTAGAGTCCTGGAAGTGCAGGTAGGTCAGAACTTACTAGCTGTGCCAGTTTTGGTTTTAAGTCCCGCGTGAGGTCACCAGTTGGTAACGATGCTCCTAAAGTAAAATGGGAACGCTTCACTCCTCAGCCGTCTCGGCCCTCATCAAAGAAGAGCTGAAGAGGGTGGAAGCCATGGAAGGTGGAACTGCCACCCTGCGATGCCAGCTGAGCAGAGAGGCCCCCGTGGAGTGGAGAAAGGGGCACACTCTCCTCCGGCCGAGTAACAAGTACAGAATGAGGCAGGAGGGCACGGTGGCTGAGCTGCTGATCCACGATCTGGACCCAAAGGATGCTGGAGACTATACGTGTGTCGTGGGGAACCAAAAAACCACAGCAGCCTTATCAGTGAATGGTAAAAAGTCAGAAATAACCCCTGACACTCTGGAACGTTTTTGTCTATCTTGTCCCTCCTGCTCCTTTCTCTATATTCCTTCACAAACACCTACTTTTATGTCCTGCTTCTACTTTTTTCATCCTTCCACTTTTTCGTGTTGCCACATCCCTCCTTTCCCCAGTCTCTACCCATGATCAGCTTTCATTACGCCCTGTGCTGTGTCTGTGTTGTGTTGGCTTCTCACCTTTCCTCAAGCGAAGGGTGCTGTCATGCGTGTGCGTTTTCCTGAATTACTATGGAGGCATAAGATTCCTTGGGATTTTCTGTTAAGGCGTGTTCATCGCCTTTAATGATGAGGGTGAGTTTGTCATTTGTATGCCTGATCCCAGTCGAGATCACACGTACTTTGATTCCCACGGAACAATTTACTAGAGATTTTTTTTCTACCAGCCACAAAAAAACCTCAGGATGTTTTTAAGGATAAGGGTGTTGGAGTAAGGATTAAGTTAGCCATGCAATAAATAACAATTCAGCCTCTGACCAGAGATCTGGGCAGGGCCTTGGGTTGCAACCCCTTTTCGTTCTGCATCTCTCAGCCCTGCCAATCCGTTTCAAAAAAGAGCTGAAGAACGAAGAAGCCACCGAGAGCGGGACGGCCACGCTGCAGTGCGAGCTGAGCCAGGCGGTGGGCTCGGTCGAGTGGAGGAAGGACGGGAAGGTGCTGATGCCAAACAGCAAATACAAAATGAGACGGGAAGGGCGTTTTGCCGAGCTGGTAATCCAAGACCTAGACTTGACGGATGCTGGGAGTTATACCTGTGTGTGTGGAGACCAGAAGACAACAGCTGCTTTGAGAGTGAATGGTAACCATTCTACCAGTGTTTCTTGTTAAGTCCCAAACTTGGCATGTTTGACAGCATTTGCTGGTCAGCCACAGCTTGGTCAGTGTGATTTCTTAGAGGTTTCGTGTTCCCAGATCTGTGGTGTCACCCTATTAGAGATGATTTCCTTCTGTGGTTATTTATTTGCTTTGAGAGCGCCTTACTATATTGTATATTGGCTTTTTCTAATTTATTTCTCTCTACTCTGGGAGGTTTTACCCCTCTCTCAACCATATCCACCTAGCAGTAGTGCAGTTTTGGTTAAATGCATCCACTGCAGCCCAGTAACTCACAGCAGAGTCCAGTTCATTTCGATCTAGCGCTGAGTCCTTCTCTGTTGGTATTGCATCCTTCAGCCTTGCCTGTCCTCTTCCAAGAAGAAATGATGAACAAGGAAGCTACAGAGGGGGAGGCAGTTACTTTGCACTGTAAACTGAGCAAATCAGCCCCGGTGGAGTGGAGAAAGGGGAATATGGTCCTCAAGCCAAGTGAAAAATACAAAATACAGCAGGAAGGTCCCTTTGCGGAGCTGATGATCCAGAATTTGGATTTGGCAGATGCTGGTGATTACAGCTGTGTGTGTGGAGACCAACAGACTACGGCTGCTTTGACAGTAAATGGTAAAAAGAAATTCTCAGCACGTGCCCCAAGTTGAACCTATGTAATTCCAAACTCTCTTCTGTCTCTTCTGTTTCATCTGATCCCTGTATCTATTCTCCCCCCTGCTGATTATTTTTCTATCCTGTTTTCCTTCTCTCTCCCTCTCCTTTCACCTGATGCCTTCTTGATGTGCTGCTTGTCTTCCTAGGTGCTATGTTCACGTGACGAGGAGTACAGGTCCCCAGCTCAACGCATCCTCCCTAGTCCAGTATAGCTGCTTGTTTAAAAGTTTCCCCATAGAGGCTGTCCTGAAAGTGGGAATAATATTTACTTTTTTTAGCTGTTACACTTGTTGCTTCTGAGAGGAACATGTTTTCATCCATGTATAATGCTACACGAGGACGATCTTCGTGAAAAATTGCCTTTTTATTCTGCTATTCCCAGCCCTTTTTTACCAATTTTGGCTTAACTCTTCCAAAGCATATACTTGATCTCTGCAGAAAGCTGACAGCATGTTTGTAACTGCTCTGTTTTAAGGGGCTCTGTTTATAAAAATACAGACAGTGCCATGAATCACTCTATTCTGTAGAACTGCTGTTTTTCTCAAAGGAAACAAAATGCTTTGGATCTCATTGAAATACAGCCTCTAGTTTCAGCCTTTTGGTTTTATGGTGTATAAAGCATAGATGGCTTGTCAACTAAGTTTGCAAAGACAGACTTGCTTTTAAAGCAAGTTTTAGAGTGTGAGGGCAAAAAATTAAAAGTCGGAGTGAAATCTCTTTTGAAGTGTCAGAGACTGGAACAAAATCCTGGAGTGTGAAGAAGGTCTTGTCTGCATTGACATGCAGGTTGAGGGAGATAAGGGAGTGAGTAGGTCATGGGTCAGGCTTTCCCAGCTTTGATGCCGTGTCCGTATTGCATTTACTCTGCAGTCCTGCCCGCTCTTTTCACCAAAGAGCTGACAGATGAAGAAGCCACAGAAGGTAGAAGCGTCGCTCTGCGCTGCGAGCTGAACAAGGCTGCGGCTAACGTGGAGTGGAAGAAAGGCTTCAAGACCCTCAAGTCAAGTGACAAGTATAAAATGAAACGCGAAGGTGTTGTTGCTGAGCTTATAATCCAAAATCTGGACACGGCGGACGCTGGGAATTATACCTGTGTGTGCGGAGACAAGCAGACTATGGCAGTTTTAACAGTACATGGTAAACCAAACAAAACAAGACTCATATTAAAAGTAACTATACTGTTTTCTCTGTTCCTTTGGACAGATACCTGGTTACCCTACCATTTCCTTCCTTCTACCAGGCCCTTATCCACAGCTCACTGATGCCAATAAACTGTTCCTGTTGGCATCGTTGCGGTCGGGGGCATGGCACAACGGGGTGTCAGTGTGCAAACTCAGAGAAATATGTCGGAAACCTGGATTGCCGCTATTGTTTTAATTAGGGTCCACCAGTTTGCTTTTCTCCTTGAAAGTTCCTTTCTTTGATTCCCCATTATGCTCAAACCCTGTAAAATGGGTTGCCTCAAAGGGACTGTGACTTTGGGATTTTAAGGTTTCCCAAAGGTTAGGTTATTTGCTGGAATCTTATTCCCATGCTTCGTTCCTGGGACAACGAGGTGCTTTTATACATGAGTCCTTGTCATTGCTTTTACATCCATGTAAAGCAAGCCCAAAGCTTCTATGGGATGACTGTTCCCAGGGAGAACTATGATTTTTACTGTAACTGACAGGTGAGAAAGGCTATGTCAGTTCAGGTGAAAATGCTTGTTTTCCCACCAGGTATTGAAATGAATAATTTCATTTCAAACTGACACTTAGAATGAAACCCCAGTGTTTCATTTTTTTACTGGACAAAGTCTTTTCATTTGTATGTGAGAACAGAGAAAACATCCTCCCGTTACAGTTTAAAACATCGTAAAAGGAAACCGATTTTTTCCAGAAATTTCAAATTAGCATTTATTCATTTTGCTTGAAATTTCCCAGGAAAACAAATGGGTTTTCTTTTGTCTGTAGTGAATTGTTACTCTTAGTACATGTAAAATATCTCTACGGGTTACTACAAGCACTGAATCCTTTCCTGGTGATGACATTTTTTTTTTTCCTCATTCTGATTCATGAAGACTATCGACAATCTATGTTCTTGTATTGCTAAATCAGTTCAAGATAAGAGGGAGAAGGAAAATTAAACATCGATGTTTAATCTCAACTCTCTGGAGCATTACATCTCACTGCTCGTATTGCTGTCCTTCAGCTTTGCCTGCATTTTTCAAAGAAGGATTGAAGAACAGAGAAGCTACAGATGGTGCAACAGCCACTCTGCACTGCGAGCTGAGCAAGGTCGGTGTCCCGGTGGAGTGGAAAAAAGGTGACAAGACACTCAAACCGAGTGATAAGTATAGGATGAGGCAAGAAGATACCGCTGCAGAGCTGTTGATCCGAGATCTGGAGGTAGAAGATACAGGAGAATATACCTGTGTGTGTGGAGATCAGAAGACTTCAGCTGTCTTGACAGTCCATGGTAAAAAAGCCGTTCTCCGTTACGATGGGGGTGTCAGGGGGAGAGCCCTTTTCTCGGAGAAGTCTCTTTCCCACTTGCTTTGTTGTTTTGATTCTGCAGCATTTTCTTTGTTGGCGGGCTGTGTTTCATCCCATCTCCCAGTGCCCGTCAGTGTGAACCTGGTGGCTTTGTAGCACAGTAAAGATGTGAGAATTTCTCATCTTAGTCTTCCCTTTTTAAAAGTGAAGTATGTAAGGCTGAAAGTGAGCAAACCTCCAGCAACAAGTTTGTTCTCGGAGGATTTGTCCTTGCATCCCACTGATGTCAGTGAATTTTGGTGCTTAACTTGAAGGAATGACCTTTAAATGCTGATCTTGGTTAATGAGAGGTTTTCCCATTCAGGAAGAAGGAATGACTGTCCTCCTCCTTTGTAGGACTGTGATAGATTCTGCTGAGGAAACAGTACTTTCAAAAAACCAAAAGCCCCAAACCATTATTCTGCAGGTTGATTGAGGGAGTAGCGAGACAGGTTTTTGTCCCTCTGTCTGCCATGGCGAACAGTGACCAGCTTTGGTTGCCTCTCCAACAGAGACAGCTTGTATATAGTTCCAATAGATGAAAGAATAGCTTTTTATTTGGAATATGTCTTAAGGATAAGATGCTTCTAAGGACAGGGGGAAAACTGTGGAGGCAAAACTCACTTCTCTCAGTTTTTCTCTGTGCTTTTACTACCTCTTCTTTCTCCCAGTTGGAGGTTCCTCCGCTCCTCTGGCCTGGTACTTTCTTCCCTCTACAAGTCAACTCCTTTTTACTTTGGTGACACAACACAAGGCAACTTGCTGAATGTTGCTAGAAAAAACTCTGTATTCCTGATATTAGAGCCATTGTGAATTTGAAAACTATGACTTAAAGGTGCACCTGAAGTTATATTACTTTATCTTTCTAGACCAGAAAAAAAATAACTGTGGTGTCAGGAAAGGTAGAGATCTCCATCTAGCAGTGCCATCATGTGGGGCAATGACTTTTAATCAAAAGTCAAGTATTTTTTTTTTCTGGACTAGAAAGATAAACTGTGGTGTCAGGAAAGGTAGAGGTCTCCATCTAGCAGTGCCATCATCTGAGTCAATGACTTTTAATCAAAAGTCAAGTCATTAATGTTCAAAATAGATCAACTCAGACTGTTAGGTGGAGAAGACTACTGGAATCAGCTGGGAAATGATGGCAATTATCCCTGTGAGATCCCGCAGTAGTTTTCTAATAGATGCTGTTTTCAAGACTTCAGTCAGTTTGCAGACAACACGGAGTTGGGTGGGAGTGTTGATCTGCCTGAGGACAGGAAGGCTCTTCAGAAGGATCTGGAGAGGCTGGATTGATGGGCTGAGAACAATTGTAGGAGGTTCAACAAGACCAAGGGCTGGGTCCTGCACTGGAGTCACAACAACCCCCTGCAATGCTCCAGGCTTGGGGACGAGGGGCTGGAAAGCTGGGCGGGGAAAAGGATCGGGGGGTGTTGGTCAACAGCAGCTGAATGTGAGCCAGCAGTGTGCCCAGGTGGCCAAGGTCAGCTGCATCCTGCCCAGCATCAGGAACACTGGAACAGGTTGCCCAGAGAAGCTGTGGATGCCCCATCCCTGGAAGTGTTCAAGGCCAGGCTGGATGAGGCTTGGAGCAGCCTGGTCTAG